CTCATGGATGGCAACGCTCAACCAACTGAACCTCAGAGACTGTCATGCATTGGGAGAATATCCATTTCGAGCTGCTTCTCTGGAGCAATAAGTCCAGTTTTCCTGATGTGGCTCCCATGTGCACCATGAGATAAACTCAATGATGTCCAGGATGACAGGCAGAAAAACATTTAGCAGGTGATGGTGCAGCTCTGCTCTCCAAGACTTTGGCAAGAGTTCTGGGCCTGCCTGAACAGTGACTGCATTACTATGATGTGTGTGGTACAGATAATGTCTGTGTGAAAGAGTTTCTATTCCCATTGACCTGCCTACAAATAAGGACATTGATGCTCCTGCAAGGGAATCTCATGAAATCAGGTTTTTGGGGTGTTTCAATTCATAGAACTTAATAAGAACTTGAGGTTCCAACAATTTTGGGGCACCACGTCTGATGTGTAGCTCAACAAGTGCATAATGAGGGACATTTGTATCTCAAAGTGTGCACTAAATAGGGGGGGGGTGTACATAAGACGAAGTTGGCATTGCCTAGGTGTTCACATAATGAGGATCCCTGAAAGTGCCTACATGTTCAGCACCAATAAATTTTTTTTCTGAACTGGTGTCTGACATGCATGCATCTAGGAAGCCATTCAAGGATAATGGTGGGACATGAATTTATTTTCTGCAGCAAGCAAGGATAAGGGTTAATAAATTGGACAAGTTCTACAGGGAGCAATGATAGGAACTGAAGCAATTATTTTTCAGTAGAATGTAAAAGGTCTGATAAAGTTTGTAATGCACTGCTAATTATAGTGGGTATGTGAGAAGCCAGATGCATTTTATTTTTATTTTAATAAAGAAACTTGGTTTAAAAAGAATGTTATTGTACACTCCCCAGGATATACCTGTGAAAATGTGTGCAGAAAATAAGTAGGCAGAGGTTGTTTTGCTTTATGCAACGTATGGTATTGACTGCAATCTGTGTGATGCTTCCCTGAGTGATATTATAGTGCAAAACTTGGACTGAAAATCTCCTGAATGATGCATGTTCATTGCATCATGTATAAATCCATGGTACACTGGAGTAGCATTGAAAATGTAATTTATATCACTGCATGTGGAAGAACAGATGTGCTCTAACCTGGTGAAGATGGTTACCTCCATTAAACAGGTGTCCAAGGAACAGAAGGATGTGATATAGATTTTGTGCGCAGAAGGTGCAAAAGCACTATACATGATATACGTGACAGAATGGTCGCTATTTATAGTGAGACCTGATAGCCTTAGAGATGAGCATATTAATGGTGCAAAATAGTTTGTGGTGGACACCTCCACAAACCCAGACCCAAATGAGTAATTTTGTTATCAGGAATGACAATATCATGACAGTGTACATGGTGATTAGAGCAAACAGATGCATGTTTCTGCCATAGCCACAGAAGTGGGGAAATGTTGTGGTCACATTTATTTTGTAATTTCTATAAGCTTATTGCAACTGTTGCAAAAGTAAGCAGCATCTGATCATTTCCTAGTATTTTCTTTTTTTATTGTGAAATGATATTTAGCTTGTACAGAATCACTGTAAAGGTTCAAAATTGTCGCATCTACTTTTCCTCATATCAAGACTTGAGATCATAGAGCCCTACCATGATAGGCCTGTTCCGCTGAGAGTCACCCGGCACGGACAGTCAACCGTCCCCAGTGCGGAGAGTAGCCCAGTCGACTCTCCGCACTCTGGGCAACCGTCCGCAAACAGAGAATGAAGAGAGTTAACCGAAAACGTGATCGCTCCCTCTAGTCTAGGCTACCGACTAGTAGTCGATGAAATTACCTATTTACTGTTAACCCGAACTGTTTTCTCGGTTATAATCCAGGAAATACGCTTGATCATCCAGCCTCAGCAGCAGCTTTCTCCGAGTCCTAACCCCTTCTACCAATTATGCCCAACATTGGATTCCCGCTAAATATATGCGAAAGCTTATTCTTTTGGTCAGCTTGAGCAGAAACCATCAACCATAACTACTCACATTGCTATTCAATTTCCGCTCACTAATTTCATTCTATATTCAAACGTCTCCTACCAATGTTAAAACTATGATTTCATGATCCCACGGTCATAAAATCAACCACGTAGTGTCGCTTCATGTTTGCATTTCGAAGGGCAAAGAGGGACTCGAGAAGGGCTGGATCAATCAAGAATGAGGGAGCTTTATTCATACTCTTTAATAATGATACAAATGTTTCTCTTGTAAACTTGACAGGCGGAAGAAATGAGATTTTCTCGTTGTACCTTAAGGGTCCATCCACCTTTCTACTCAAAATGCTTTAAAAATCGCGGAAAAACTTCATCAA